CCCGATGGCCCGCACTCACATTACAATCGGGCCTGGGTATGATTACGTCAGTGATGATGCGCTGGTCAGAAGCGCTCTCGCTCAGCACAGTGGAGATTTCTTTAGTTACGTCGTTTGACGTGCAGTGACACGCAGTCAAATATTTCAGCGAACAGATCAGCCGCTTTTGACGCTCTTAAACAATCATAAAGTCCTCGTGCTGTAGGAATGAGGTTTGCTGAAGGTGCGCAGCTTTCGTGCCTAGTGAGAGGTTTGGGTCTTTAATAACCTAAGACAGTTTGCGTTCATTGAACAGTGAGAATGATTATTAAATCCACATGAAGTGGTCCCTTAAAAGTCACATCTCGCTTTCAGTTTCGAGCTTAGGCACGTTTTGCACTCACACACAAGCGTACTGCGCCAAAGCCCGAGAGAACTGCGCTCAGGCCCACCTCTTCCAACCAGGCCAGGGCCAGCCAAGTGAACCGTGCCTGAGCCCGATTCAGCGTACTCACACTCCTCAAACGATCCGGGAAACGGGCCTGGGCACTGTTCGGATAGCATAGTGTGAGTACGCCCTTAATAACACGTTTAACACTACTGGTGAGGCTAGCACATTGCTAACATGGATATCTAACATGTTTTAACATGGCTTAAAATGTTTCATGTGCAAAGCTAACATGTTTAACTTTAGACTAATATGTATATTAAACATGTTTGACATATTAACAGCATGGATTAATATGTTTCTAGCACAACTCATTTGTTGCAATGCTAACATGTTTTAACTTTTAAAAAACACAAATTACATGTTTATTAATATGCTAGCATGATTAACACAATGCTAGCATGGGTATCTAACATGTTGAGAGAATGATTTAACATGTTTCTAGTACACTTAACCCATTTGTGACAATGCTAACATGTTGGAACTTTTAAAAACAATAATGATAATGTTTAATACTACGCTAGCATGTATACGTTTAAATAATTATAATACATTTAGTCACTTACACACTTCTCAATTTTCTTCTTGAACTCTTAGAATTTGTGTTTTGTTGGTTACACTGCAAAAAATGCTGGGTTCCACATAATTCCTTTATGTTGTCCCAAATCTACAAAGTTAGATCATTTTTTTCCCACAAATTTAAGTCAATCGAACATAAAACAATTAAGAATTAATAAAACAATTGTGTTGTTTCATCTTATTGTTACATAGCAGTCTCTTTGTAATACAGAAGGGGCAAGGCTATCAGCAGGTAAACCCAGTCACTTTTACAAGAGCCTAAGATTTAGTTTCTCACATCATCACCTTTCCAATGAGTGTAATGCCACCCTACATAGAAGGAGACAGAACTAATTAACTGTGTTAAAAAGCCTGAATGTATTTCAGTCAATCTAAGCAGAATAAATACAATGTGTTGAGAATTAAAGGTGTGAAAGAAATATTGCAGATGGATGTACCTGTCTGTAAGTAAAAGTCATCCCACAATAAAGCAGAGAACATTTACAAGCTAAAATACCCTTCACTGCAGTTTTTTGGAAACTGGCTTCACAAAAATACCTTAAATACAAACAAGTAATAATTAATTGATTAACTCTCTTTTAGGGTGATAAAATTGTGATTATTTATTGCATACAATTTTACTGTAAAATGCTATTAAATGTTTGTATATGAGTGTGTTTTGAAGTTAATGAGTTGCTATATCATAAAAGAACACAATATGCTTCAAATAAATTGAAGAACATTTCGAAGTGGCTATGGTTAAAAGAAAATCAAGAAAAAATAAGTTGGCATTCATTTATGGCAGGGGTGTCCAATTCTGTTCCTGGAGATCTACTTTCCTGCAGAGTTCAGCAAAAACAACTAACCAACCAAGTAGGATGTAAGATCTGAAGGAACACTTGAGAATTAAAGACAGGAGTGTTTGATCAAGGTTGCAGATGAACTCTGAAGGAGGGTAGATCTTTGGGAACAGGATTATAGAGGACCACTGGTGTAAGTTGGGGCGCCTTTTTGTGTGACGCTTACATGTTTTCCCCATCTCTGCATGGGTTTCCTCAGAGTGCTCTGGAACAAAGACATGCGTCATAGCTAAATTGGAAAAAGTGTGTGAATGGGAGAATGGGTATTTCACGACACTCTATGTTTGGGTTGCACAAATTACTGCACTCTCAGGACTGGGTTGTAGCAGGCAGGGCATCTGTGACAAAGTAATTGTGAATTTCAAGAGTTTACACTTAGATATTGTTTGACAACTGTTAGCAGGTTTGGCATGCTGTCCCAGGAGAGAACCCTGAGCTCGGAGATAGTTGAGCCCAGGGCTCCCGCCAGGTCCATAGAGCATGTGAGGGGAGTACGAGATCAGATAGTTCTGGAGAGCTCCCCTGTGGTAAAGGAAGAAAGGAGGAGAAGGGGTGGATGGGGGGTTTCTTCAGAAAACGAAGATAAGCGAGTAGATCTAGCTAGGCTACTTATGAGTTAGGATCAACATGATTGGCTAAATAATGAAAGTAGATGGGTGGCCAGCTGCAGTCAATCATATCACGTGCTCCTCTCGAAATTAGTTTGTAAAACTTCACTTATTCTGTTGTGGCAACTAAGTTGAAGGAATTAGAGTGGTAAAAACCTTGACCAACTATAGGGATATTTTACAGTTTGGACCCAAAAATGACCAGTCTGTCGGATGAAGAAAAGCCAAAGTTCAATTAAAAAGAAAGTTTACTGAAGTTAGTTTGCAGTTTTATCAGCAGAAGCAGGCTTTAACACTTACAATGAGTTCCTAGCCCGCTCTGCTTACAAACACAAACCATCAACAATCATACTCTCACATAACTTTATTAACTGCGTCATACAAATAGGTTTTTTAACCATGCCGCTCATAACAAGATGCCCCCCTGGGCAATCGCCCATGCATAAATCAGCCACTGGAGCTGACCCCAGACCTGTGAAATGACCCAAAAATGAAAAGAACACACAAACAAAGTACAATCTGTTTCTTATATCTATTCTAAAACATAAAGTCACTTACAAAAGCTAACACATATTCTAATATCATATCATGTAAATAAATAAATAATGAGGCTGTTTATTAAGAAATGAAATTTAGTATTTATCTTTTATTAGGAAATGTAAACATCATACTTTAATAATGATGATGATTATTATTATTATTAGTAATAAGTAGGATATGGTTTATTTTTAATTGTTTTGAAAAGTCTACGTTTACAACACACATGCAAACCACTGCAGAAATGTTCTAACCAACAGGCTCGTGTCATATACAGTGCAGATAATTAATAAATAACCCATTTTAAATTAAAATAATTAAAATATGCTATGTTTTTTGTTTTCACTAGCTTTGGAGATGTAACATAGCTTTTAAATAATAGGTCATCTAAAGCTTTCTTCATAAGCCACAACTGTGTTCAAAAGGACATCATTGTTTTCAAAGTGAACTGCGAAGAGAGTGCCATTGCCAATATGAAGATCGCTAAAACGCAAATTAAAAAATACTTTGAAAACAAATGACACTTAAGAAAAATGACTGCTAGAATAAATGCTAGAATGTTCTAAACAAATAGAGCATGGGGGGGGGTAACTGGGAAAAGAAGAACACAGCCAGGATCTATGTTTATAACTACTGCTCTACAGGTGTAGTTGCAAGCGTACAAGTTTGCAACGCATTTTGTGAATGTTCGTTGGAACGACAGATTTGAGAAAAGCCAAATCAACAAACTATGTTTGAAATAACGGAACTTGTGACCTTAGTTGGCTAACGATGGTTTTCTGAAAGGCACCCCTGGCTGGGTAAATCCTGAGAAAATAAATAATTTGGCAAACAGAAAAGCAATCACACACATTATTTCAGTTTACTCTGAAGTGTGTAGACACTATAATCTAGGTTCTTAAACATTCAACCTTATTAATAATCTTAAACACATGAGAATTTATGTGTTACTCCATCCTGGAGCAGACAGCATTAGAAAATCCACACCTTTACTACTACAGTGTTTGTCCACCATGGCAATGGTGTGGCTATGAGACGGCTCCGCCTTTGTTGAATTCGAAGTTCCTTCTGCTCAGTCTATAAGATTGTCAGTAAAGCACTCTTGCAGAGCTGCTTTCTAATAGAAATTAAAGTGTAATTAAAAATGTAAGTAAAAAAATTGTTTTCCACTGTACATTTACAGTACTCATCGAAAGTATTTCCACTTCTCCAATTTATATACTCATCTAAAGTAGTTCTGCTTCTCCAATGCGAGGTACGGGTTAACATGTTAGGTGAGGCTCACTTTTAAAGGCTTCCACTGTGTTCTACCAATACACCTGCAACTTTTTAGAATCTTGTGTGAGGTATGGATCTAAGCAAGCCTTATCATTACCACAACATGATGTATACACACTGCTGACCATCCAAGAGAATTGATTCAAGAGAATGATCAGTAACAGGGTCACTACCAGTATTATTGGATTTGTGACATACAAGAGCAGCAGGCAGCAGCCACTGCTCAAGAACACCATTCCATATAGCATCCATTGCTTTTGTGCGGTGGTAGTGATGATTTATATTATTAACTACATTTTTATGCTATAATGCTGCTCTATGCAGTCTTTTAGCTAAAATCAAACCCGAAATTAATAGTGATGTGCAAAATGACAAGGTCCATGTCACTACTTAAGAAAGCATAATTCCTTGGATTTGATCATTCTTCAAAACATTTGGGATAGTAGATAATTCAGCAAAAGCAACACTGTTCTTGGTTTTGGGATATTTTAAATGGATATATTACATAATATGCCTTTAAAATGTTAAAAAACAGCACCTTCATAAAATGAAATTTTAAATCTGGAAGCATTATCAAAATAGAAAATAAACCTGAGAATCAGTACGTGGCATCATCACATTCACACATCCTGCATGTGTGCGGTAATGAGATGAGCAGGCGCGGAGGGATACTGAGTGTAAATGAGGCCAGAGCGCAGCTACACCTCAATCTGCGGCTCACTCACTCACATGCACACACAAACACACAGAGGAGCAGACCCTGCGTATATACGTCAACCTTTAAAACACAAAAAGCTTCTTTCTCCTGATTTTACTCACATTTATCAACCGGGCTTTGTTTAATAATGGTGAGTACAACCTGGCTTTTATCTCCGTTTTTATTCCTAGCTAACAGTTTAGCCGCTTTAGCATCTTGTCAGTTGACAGCTAGGAATGATTGTACTACTCATTAAGGATCGCGTCTATTCATTTTAAGCTGTAAAACGTATTCATAGCGTGTGTTTCTTTAGTGAAAGTTTAAAATTATCAATGTTTATTTAGACATCGCGTTAATTAGCCTGTTAGCGCTGCCATATGTAATACAGCAACATGCGTGTGATAAAATCATATATTATTCGCTATCAATTAACCTAAAATTAATTTAGAAATTGATAACATTGCATTTTAAATCGTTCACGCTATTGCTCTCGCGCAAACTGAAGGCTGTCAATCACATGCGCACCAGTTAAGGTTTGTTAACGTTACACATTCTTCAATGCAAACAAGCTATTTTGTCAAAAAGTCATCTAGGAGGATGCAAATGTGTAATGAAATGCTCCGCACGCGTGGTGTCTGCTCATAACACTGTCTCTTATGTGCATATCATTACTTTGCATGTAATGCATCATTAGTGTTGCCTTCACGCAGTGTTTCTGCTCATCTCGGTGTGAACAAGTGACTGGCTGCTAATTTTACATGGGCTGAGCTCATTGCCTTTAACAGAAGGATAAGTGTGGGCGTGGTGGTGTAAAAATAACCACCAGCAAAGCATATGCGCTCAAGTCCCTCATTTCTGGAGGAATCTGCATTTTAGCTTCGCCTTTACAAAGTTTGCAAACGTCCTGCAGATATAATGTTCTCCATCTGCTGCATTTGAATGGCCCAAAGTTGCAACATGTTGGGTAGCTGTTGCTCAACGGTACAGAAAATCTGCAATTCAGCATCAGACGATCGTGTAGCTGTATAAGGCATAAATATGAATGGAGTGGGCTGTGAAGTTGCATATTGCAGCAGGTTGAACTGCAGTGACGAATCCTGGATGTCCCCCTCCCCCTTTTCCCCCTGCATTGAACCAAATCATAGCTGGTGCAGCAACACGCTGACACTGGATCTGCAGTGCAGACACACACGCGCACACACATTCACACTCGCTCATCAAATTGGAATGCAACTCGGAAAGACTCCTGTTGCATGACAAACATTTGTCCCGCTCATGCTCCTCTTAATCCACAGTAATTGATGCAGTCATTAAAATGCGGTAACAGGCCTGAGAAGCAGCGCAGAATATGTTACCCAGCAGCAGTGGAGCCTGCCTGCATCCAAACCAGCCATTTAACCATCCGTGCAGCTGATCCTGGAGTGCATGTCTGTCTGATTCCATCTTGATGGAGGGCCAACAAACCTCTCCACTAGCATGAAGTTTGGATTATTGGTTTATTTAATTTTATCGGTGCTGTATGCCAAGGCAAACAGCTTTATTAGTGTTGTGTATTGCTGAGGGTGACACATTTACTTATTTTCAGTGAGTCTTACAGTTTGAGGAACCAAGTTGTGCAGAGGTCAGATTTACAGTTCTCCACAGCGATTGATGAACAACATCTATTAAAATCCAGTTGAATATACTGAAATTAAATTTTAACAAAGGGTGCTTTCACACCTACACTTTTGTTTCGGCACCTGTCTCGTTTGACAAGTTCGCGCGGTTCGTTTGGCATATGTGAACAGGGCAATCGCGCTCTGTTCCGCGCCAAAGTAATCGCTCCGAGATCGCTTGAATGAGGTGGTCTCGGCTCGATTGGAACGAACCCTGGAGCGGTTCGATTGCAGTGAGAAAGCGATCCGATCCGAGTGCGGTTATATCACAGTGTTTTATGGATATGTAATAGGCATACGGCGATATGAAGAGAGAATTATGAGTATGGCAGGAAGTTTCGCGAGTCTCCGGATGCCCGCAAACGAGTGATGATCTCCCAGTGATCTCGCGTCTTCCTCCCGGTCTTCAAATAGGCATCGTCGCGCACCCTTCTCACCCCTCCCTACCGCATCTCTCCTCAGACACGCCGCACACACGCTGTCAATCACCACCAAACCACCACCTCTCTTGACAGCTGAGCGGGACGCTGCAAAATAAACCCTGACACTCTGACCAATGTGAGGAGAGTTTACTTGCACGTGACTTGTTTTAGCTCTTTTGGTCTGATTAGAAACTTTGCAGTGTGAAAGCCAACCGCTTCAAGAGCAAAGAGAAACAATGTAACATTTGTAATCTCTGTTTCAGAACAACTGAGTCGATTCACAGGTGTGAAAGCACCCTTACTGTTTGAGGAACCAAGTTGAGCAGAGGTCAGATTTATAGTTCTCCACAGCGATTGATGAACGACATCTATTAAAATCCAGCTGAATATACAGAAATTAACTTTTAACAAAGGGTGCTTTCACACCTACACTTTTGTTTCGTTTGCCTCGTTTGCCCAGTTAGAGTGGTTCGTTTGGCATATGTGAACAGGGCAATCGCGCTCTGTTCTGCGCCAAAGTAATCGCTCCGAGGCTGCTTGAATGAGGTGGTCTCGGCTCGATTGAAACGAACCCTGGAGCGGTTCGATTGCAGTGAGAAAGCGATCCGATCCGAGTGCGGTTATATCACAGTGTTTTATAGATATGTAATAGGCTTACGGCTCTATGAAGAGAAAATTATGAGAAGGGCAGGAAGTTTTGCGAGTCTCCGGATGCCCGCAAACGAGTGATGATCTCCCGGTAATCTCGCGTCACCCTCCCGGTCCTCAAATAGGCATCTTCGCGCACCCTTCTCACCCCTCCCCACCGCATCTCTCCTCAGACACGCCGCGCGCTAGTGCACCTTGTCAATCACCACCAAACCACCACCTCTCCTGGCAGCTGAGCGGGACGCTGCAAAATAAACCCTGACACGCTGACCAATGTGAGGAGAGTTTACTCACACGTGACTTGTTTTAGCTGTTTTGGTCCGTTTAGAAACTTTGCAGTGTGAAAGCGAACCGCTTCAAGAGCAAAGAGAAACAATGTAACATTTGTAATCTCTGTCTCGGAACAACTGAATCGATTCACAGGTGTGAAAGCACCACCTTATTCAATTTAATGATTAAGAGGATAATTACATTACACTAACGCAGTGTTTAAAAATGTAATTTTGGTCTCTTGAAACCAAGAAACCAAGCTGCTGCTGATGATGTGACAACAAAAGTGATTTGATGTGTAATCTTAAGAAACTGTTACAGTTTTACAAAATATTTAGCAGTTTTCAATAACTATAGTTTCTTGAGCAGAAAAATCTGCATTTTAGAATAAATACTGCAGGACCAGTGTGATAATAAAAGAATCAAGTAATGATGCTGAGAATTCAGTTTTCACATCACATAAATGTTTCTTTTTTTATCATACTGTAATTTGATTATATATAATTCAAATAGCATTTCACAATATCATGGTTTACATTTTTCATTTAAAGGGGTGGTCCATTACGATAAGGATGGGTATTTCTGACCATTCATCATTTTGATTAATCCACATGTTTGACAAACAAGTGCTCAATTAATCAGGGGTGTAGCTTAAACAAGAGGCGGGGCATGTGTGTGTCATAGCGACAATTAAATAATATTCAATTAAAATATATTGTATTTAAAGCCCTGTTAAAAATATTGTTGATAAAACTATGACAGGTTTCAGAAAACAATTAAATAAACACTGTTGGGTTGTTAAAAATCACCATCAATATTGGTTGACACATAAACATTTAAAGAAGTGGAGCAGTGGCATATTTAGGCATGGGCAATATGGTCGATGGCCAGGGCGGCATCTTGCTGGCACAGAGTGTGAAAAGAAACAAAAACAAAACAAAAAAAAAAAACAAGCCCCAGTAAAAGCTTTGAGATACAATTAACTTTATGCAAGTGTATTAATTTAAAATTAATCCCAGAATAAAGACCTTATGGCCATTCGCATTTGTTGTATTTTGCATGCACAAGTTTGTTTTTGTCTATGTGCATTTGAAACAACGGTGATGAAAGCAACTGATGCATGCATGCGTGCAGAAAACCATTCAGGGCGCTTTAAAACAACGGCAAAAAAAAAAAGAAAAAAAAAGAAAACAAAGTTATTTTACAGTATTATCCCCTTCAATATGTGTCTTATTATTTCTATAAATATTTTAGATTCATTTTTAAAACTATAACCTACCTTTTTCTATATTGTTGACAACAACAATAAAAAAACACACCTGATACTCTGCATTTCAGTTATTTTGTTCAACTGGCATTTACAGAAACAATATTTTACTTCAACAGCAACACAACATATCAAAAAAAGATTATTATTTTTTTTTTGTAAAAGGTTTGCAAAAAAAAGTTTCACCAAAACTTATCCAAACGACAGTTAAGTAGCCCATAGCCTAACTAAAATTACAAGATAGCATAATTTGGCTGCGTAAACTTAAAATAAAAATAGCCTGAATATGTTTTTTTTTACCACAGCTATAAAACTTAAAGATGAGGTAAAATAACATTTCTTTCAAAATGATCAGTCGGTGGAGGTAAATAAAATAAAGCCAGCCTAATTTAACTATGCCGCTTGCTCTTAAAACAAAAACAGCCTAAATATTTACCATGCATGGCTAATAAAACTTAACATAAGAACTACATGTTAATTCAAAAAACATCAGTCGGTCTACATGCTCCGATGAAAGCCGAGTGCGAAGTTTATTTACAATTAGACTGGCGGTGGAAAAAAACCCTTCAGGTTACGGACATACACCCTGTACAGTGAAGGGGCATGATTCAACTATAATAGATGAAGCTGTGAGTCAGGACCTGTAAGCAATTTTTTTTGTTAAAATGGATTTATTGCATGCATAGTTTCTATCATTAACATTATGTTGCAGCACGGCCATAAACAGGGATGTAAACAATGGGAAATGCTGTTTGGCACCACTAACAATTTAGCTACAAATTTATATTTTTCCGTCAAACTGCTGTAAACTACCACAATCTTTCCCAGGGCGTCTAATGTCTCTATGCAGACGCTTTCTGTGCGTTCTACATCTCAAATAACAAAAGAT